CTCTTTCCTAATAAATACTAATGATTTATAAAATTCCATTTTTCGCTTCATAAAAGACTGAATTTATATTCAGTCAAATTTTTCAAAATTGTTATATCACGTTTAAATTTTACATAAAACATTCATTACAATTTTATTTATAAAATTTCATATTTAAGCAATAAACTTGATAAACGAACTTCATCATTTGTTGTAAAAAAAAAAAAAAAAAAAAAACGGAATTTCACGTTTTTGCGATGAATAGCTCACGATAAATTCAAAGAAAGTGATCTTGAAGTACTATTAAATGAAAAAGGTATAATTAAGATGGCCATAGAAAAGAATATTATTAAACATAAACGTACGAATTAATTTTATTCAATTGTGCGTGTTTGTGTAAATTCGATCGTCAATTGATATAATATATGATGTCGGTAAAGGCGAATAGGATCAGGTGAATATGAAATAGTTCGCTCGAACAATCTGCGTAGCAAAAATTTTACGAGAGACTTAATAGATTTAAGTTGACCGGAGCAATACTGAAAAGTGAAAGATAAAGACACAAAATGGCGGAATATAATTATGATGCCGAAAACACTTAACGTTCTCCGCCTTATTTCATTTCAACTTAATCCTGGCCTGGAATTTATATTTCATATAATATTTTTCTATCGAAAGCAATCCCTTTTTGCTCGTTAATTTTCAATATTGAGACAATAAAATGTCACGTAAAGCAAACCGAGCATATAGATTTAACAAACTTTTTCATTCTTAATTGTATTATCTACTTATTATGGTAAAAATAAATATTTGACAATATTGCAGACGTTAGAAATTAATTTTTTTTTTTTTTTAATATTTTCATGTATTAATATGAGCAAGAAAATCAAAAAGCTGGTAATACATTAAAATATGATGAAATTATAATATAAAAAGGCTGCTAAATTCATGAAAATTATGTTTAAGATTATTTGTTTCAATTAATTTTCATATAAAATATATTAAGAATTTATTTACTTATTTTCAAAATTTCAATTGAACATATATTAAATTAAAGTGAAATATACATTATTAATAGGCAAAAATTAATGGTCTTATAAAGAAAACATAAAAAATAAATAAAAATAATAATTGTAATGCGTTGTAATTAAATATAAAAAAAAAAAATTATGATGATAAAATTATACAATTCGTTATCCTAATTTACTTTAATTGCATTGCCACATTTTATTTTCCCAAATATTAAAATGGATAAAATATACGAAAAAAATGTTAATCTTTAGCAAAAACTTAAGAACTTTTTTTAACTTCTTTCGGAATTTTATAAAACAAAGTTCAACAAGGAGAGCATAATTAATAAACAATTGCGTAATCTCAGCAAATTTCTGTAAAGAACATAATGTTT